CTTGCCAGGCACAGAGGTGAGACTGAATACACTAAAAATAAAAGAGGTCCTGATTCCTTGACATCCTTTTCCTGCATAATTTGAATGTTTAATTGCCCTTGTTAGTATTAGTATTAGTATATTAGGTTTTTGGAAGATCATCTTCTGTTATACAAACAAAACTTTGCAAAATAATTCTTTATAAATGTAAACATGCTGTTTGTCAAACTTGCCTGGAATTGTCCCTGATCCTAGTAAAATTATGTTCCTGTTAAATACAGCAAGTGACTTAATGACACCTCTGTTTCATTTCAGCTTTTTCTTGGAGAAGAATATGTTTGTTTTCTTCTTGAACATCTTGCGTCAGAAGTCTGGTCGTTATGTGTGTGTACAGCTTCTGCAGACTCTGAACATCCTTTTTGAGAACATCAGTCATGAAACATCACTGTGTAAGGGCATGCTTTTAAACTGGTTAGGATTAAGTGATCAAGATTTGATTGAATTCCCTTTCATTTAGTGAAATTTAGTACTCGTGCCCCTTCACAGAAGAACTATATGAATTCCTAACAATCTTTTTAGTTGAATACTACTGAAAATGCAGTGTAATTTGACTCCAAAATACCTTTTAATATAAATTTTCAGTAGTTATGTTAGTTGTTTGGTACTACTGAAACACTTATTTTGCATATTTCACAGGCTTCTTTAAGTGAACAAATGAGTTGTGGTGAAGTGTTTGCCTTGCTGCCACAGAGTATGTGGTGGAACTCTGTTGTCTAATTTGTGCTGGAAATGTTCTGACATCATTGGGGCTGGCACTCAGCCACTTGTGTTTACTTCAACACTTTTAGAAACATGTAAAGAGGACAGAGAATTAATAAAATCCTCCACAACTATCATGAAGAGAAAGTTGCGTACAAGCCTTTGAGAGTTTATGACTTTGGGAGGAAAAGAGAGTTGCTTTAATTGTTATTTATTAGCTGCAAAGCCTGCATAAATTGAGGAAGGTGAAGTATAGTCTCAGTTTTCTCGTTCTTGGGGAGAAAAGACCTTTTTAGGGAATAATTTCCCTGTTACCACTTGAAACCGTCACTTCAGTTGTTTGGCTAAAAATTGGGACCTTTGAGCATCAGGTATTTTGTTGCTAGCTGGTACTTTAAGCACAGCAGGTTAGCATAATGGTTTTTTTTCTTTCTGTTAACCTGTGTAATGTCTCTTATTTTTCAGACTACCTGCTCTCTAATAACTATGTAAATTCTATTATTGTCCACAAGTTTGACTTTTCTGATGAGGAGATAATGGCATATTACATATCATTTTTGAAAACTCTTTCCAACAATCATACTGTACATTTCTTTTATAATGAGGTAAGTGAAGAAAGAGTTTCAGTATAAGGATAAGAGGACAATTAGAAATTGATAGCAATCTAGCACATATTCTGTTTAGTCTCTTGTCTCAGCATGTCCTGCATTTATTTTTGTAACAGTGATTCATTTGTGGGGATCTCTGCAAAAGCATGATAAAGAAGGTCTTCGTCCTTATACCCTAATAAAATAAAAATCTGGAAGTTAGTGTTATTGGACTGTTTCAGTAGTTCCGAAGTCTGCTTCCTTGAGAATTCAACTTGTTTATGCCTTGTTGTGCTTTTATAAACAGGATATTTTCTGTTGCACCACTTATTTCTAAGAGGCTTGTTCAAAGTCTAAAGCCTGACCAAAGGCCAAAGTCGAGATGGGTTTTTCCTCGTTCCATTCCACAGTTTGCCAGAAGAGGGCATTACAGCACTGAGTATGTGCAGTTAACATGGAAAGCTCTGATGCCGAAATCAGTTTAACGCAGAGCTGCAAATGCAGCTGACTCTGCATTGTAAAATAATTTCGATTACTTAGGTAGAAGTTAAAAATATCAGAGTAATACATGGAAAACATTTTTCGTGCAGAATCCAAACAAGTATTCTGTACATGTTTGGTTAATTCATGAATGCTTTCTTTCCTCTTGTTACAGCACACTAATGACTTTGCGTTGTACACTGAAGCTATAAAATTTTTTAACCACCCAGAAAGTATGGTCAGGATTGCTGTCAGGACTATAACTTTAAATGTCTACAAAGGTAGGTATGGTTTTTATATATTAAAAAAGCATGTGTACAAACTGCTTGTTTCATTGTAGTTTAATTTTCAGTTATTTGGATTTAAGGATGTTCTGTCTGTTTTATGATACTGAAAGGCTTAGCATGTAAACATGCTTCAGATACATATTTTGGTTTTTGTGAAACAGAACCCCAAACCTACAGTACGTACTTGTAAATAGTAGTTTCCTCACAGATGAAACTGGGTTATTAAAAACCCGAGAGTATCAAGCATGCAACAAGGAACTTTAGCTTCCCTTTCAACAGAGATCAGAATGTGACTGTATTTAGCAAACAAACAAACCAACACAAAAAACAACCCTCAAACCAAAGTGCTTTAAGAATATCAAGTGTTTTTTACTTACAATCTTGAGCTTTATAATGTATGAAGCAGTAACCTTACTGGCTTCATCACTTCCTTTTGGATTTGAAGTACATTAGAATACGATTGTAGAGCTCATAGCTGCTGGAGTCAATCCAGTATAAAGAAGACAGAGCTAGACCCATCCCAGAGGTGCTGGTGAAGGCCAGGAGGCTGCAGGTGCAGACTCCTGTACTGGATGTTCTTGTAGGACATAAGAAAAGAAAAAAACCAAACACTTCACTGTGAGACTAGTTGAACACTACAGCAGGTTTTCCAGAGAAACTGAGGAATCTGTATTGTTTGAGTTCTTCAAAACTCAACAAGGCCCTTAGCAACCTGGTTGAACTTTGAAGTTAAGCATTACTTTGAGAATGGGTTTGGACTAGACAATGTGCAAAAGTAACTTCCCACTAAATTTTTCTTGGGGTGTATAAAATCTGTGAGAGACTGAAAATACCACAGTGATCTCTGTAGAAAAATTGGTGTGCATTCAGAACTTCTGCCTCTGAAATCAGTGTGCTGTAAAGTAGTATGTATTATAGAATATGTTAATGCAGGTCTTATTCGCTAATCCATTTTAAATTAAATTACATTTTGAACTTATGCGACTATCAATTAAGATTAGTAGAGATTTGATTACAGTGTTCATCATGGAAGAGTAGAAGATTTTTTTTTTAGACTGTGAACAATAGGCTTTGTAAATAACTGGATAGCCTGGATAGCAGATAGGTTCTATAAAGAACCTACTATAAAGTGTTGGCTGCAAGGGACAAAATGTCCTTCTTTTGTGTGTTGAAAAATGTGCATTTGGTGCTTGTTTTCTTCTTCAAGGAGCTGTAAACTCAAATATGAGCTCGCAAAAAGAGCAAAGTGCAGGCTTCGTATCCTATTTGTTATATATTTATGTAACTGAATATTTTTATGGTAAAAAAAATGTACTTCTCTAGAATTTTCATTGAATGTTGTAGTGTTATAAAGGTTAGAGTTGAAAAAACACAGCTCAGATGTTCGGGTGTCATTTTCTGACTATCCATTTGCATATGTTCTGATCTAACAGCTGCCCTATATCTTTTAGTTTAGATGCTTTGTGCTTTAGCTTTTTAAACCCTTTTGGAGGATGTCACTATCCTAGTTCCTAATCCTGTTAACTGTTGTCTGTTTCTTTTGCCCTTCCTTCACTGATGATTCCTGTGTTCCTTAATGCAGTGTCATGTAAGTCTAACTAGCTTGACTTTCAGCATTACTGCTTTATTCTTACGCTTTTTTCTCTTCTTTTTAATACGGAATGTGCTAAAAAAACCCTTTCTGAATTCCTCTAGTTTTGTTTGTCTTCAGACCTATGTAAATATATCAATATTAGGCTCATTCAAGCCAACTAAGAATTGATATGATGCTTTTGTAGATGTCCATTTCATGCGAAAGATCATGTCAGGTATATACTCGTATGAAAAGCTAGCATGTAATCACAATTCAGAAGATACTTTTGTATTTCTTAACAATTAATTAAAAAAACAAAGACAACTGATTTTTCTTTTTAACAATTTCTCTTCAGTGGACAACCAACCTATGCTGCATTACATTAGAGATAAAACTGCTGTCCCTTATTTCTCCAACCTCGTCTGGTTTATTGGAAGCCACGTGATAGAACTGGATAACTGTGTGCAGACTGATGAAGAGTAAGCTTTTACAAATGCCGGGTATTGAATGGAAATGCTTTTCCCAGACATTGATACTCTCCTCATTTTGTCTGTAGTAGTCTGATTAAGTTAATTTCTGGATATGTTGCCTTGTGGACAGTTCAAGCTTTTCATTCTTGCGAAGTTTTTTAGTGATTCTTTGAATTAAGTGGTTAGTGCTGTGTGTCCTATCTGTGTTGATATCCATACCAGTAAATTAGTGTTTGGCAACATGCTTTTTCTTCATCTTTGTTTTAATTCTGCTAAATGTAGTAGATATACAGAAGACACAAAAGGTATTTTGTGCTTCTCAGTCTTACTAACTTTGTCTTTTTACTGTTCCTTTTCTATGTATCATGTCAGTAGAACAGCTTTCTGAAAAGATTCTAGAAAAAAAAAATCATCTGGAAAGGTGAACTTTATTTAATATGTGAACTGTCAGACCTGAAATTTCTGTGTAATGTTCCACCATCAACTACAGAAATCTTTTGTTGATTCAGGTTTGCCTTCCCACTGCCACCTTAGAATGGGTGGCTGTTTCTTGCTTTCTTAAAGTGAAGAGGTAGACATTAAATACAACATACATTTCTTCTTTTATTTTTGGAAACAAATTTACCATTTTTAGTGGTTGACTTCTGAAAAGACTCTGGCAGTGGAAAGTGAAGTTTTGTAAAAACATTGCTTCTGAGAGGCTGGACAAAACTTGCTATGTGCATCCTAAAGCACATATAGGCCTGAATACTGATTGCTAGCTGCATTAGTTGACTTTACTGAAAACACATTCTTTAGGCAGTCTGTTTTGTGCGAGATGATCTCTGGAAGGGGTACACATGAATTCTTTCCTTAAATTTTTAAGACTTTGACAATTGATTGGATCTGAGACTTTTTTTCTGCTCTCTTTTTCAGGCATAGAAACAGGGGCAAACTGAGTGACCTGGTAGCAGAACATCTTGATCATTTACATTACCTTAATGATATTCTTATCATTAATTGTGAATTTTTAAATGATGTGCTGACAGACCATCTACTTAATAGGCTCTTTCTTCCCCTCTACGTGTATTCATTAGTTAATCAAGATAAGGTAAGCTAATACCTGCAAACAGTTAAGTCCTAAAGGTATTATTTGCTTTCAGTATGCATAATGAATTGTTCAGCAATTCTGTAGTAGGGTTAATACTGTCTATCTATGTTTTTGTGTTTTACATGAAACAGCTTAAATAAGGTGCCTGTAGGGGAAATACCCCGAGACTGAATTTAAGGGCAGAATAGGTGAAACTTTATTCACTGAACAAATACTGTTTTGGATGACATGGTTGTTAAATGCCAACAATAGCGGAGATGAAAAGAGCTGCAAATTTGGAACAGGGTTTAAATTTCTCTGACACTGGGAGATTTGTGATATAAATTTAGCACTGTTGTGCTCAAGTTATACTTCAAATATTTTTGTCCCATGTGATCTAATTTAGAGGAGTGTCTGTTAAGAATGTGTTTTTATTATGCAGGTAATATTTCATTGTTTCTGAATAGCTTATTTTTAGAGCAGACTTCAATGTATGTTAACCGAGAAGTACTTTTTGAAGGAATAGTAGCGTAGTGAAAACCAATATACCTCTATGATACTCATCTGTTAAATTTAAGTTACCAAAGTGACTATGAAAGACAGTAATCAATAGTGATTTTTTTAAGCCTGTGGAGTGAAGGGTATGCTTATTTGGAGAGTCTTCATTTGAAATAGTTTACAAGAAGTGAATGCTAAAGAGCATGATGCTTTCTGAACGTTTGGTAGCAGAACATGGAACAATATGATATTAAAAGTTTTTTGTTTTAAATAAAATATTAGACAGTGTAAATGCTTTAACTTTGTGTAAATAAATCTGCATTTTTCATAATGTTTTTGCCATAGGGTGGAGAGCGTCCAAAAATAAGTCTCCAAGTTTCTCTCTATCTTCTTTCTCAAGTAAGTATTTTAAGTATTTTGTCCTATTTAAGAACATGTTCTGCAGTAGCATTATGATTTATAAATTACTGTATTTTCATCTGTTTTGGCAAAGCCATTAAAGACAATTTGGCAAATTAAGTTTGAAACCTATCAGTTTCCATTAAAGAAAAATAAAGGCAAGATAAGTTGTCTTTTTATGGGCAGACCAAATAGGTTCTTACTTGAGTTAATATCATTCTTCTGAGCTGGTTCTGTCCCAAGGCCAGTTGTTTGGTGGCCCAACCTTGTAAGCCTTGCCTCAAAATAGTGGTTAGTGTAGATAGAGAACCTTGTTAAAACACTGAAGCACTTTAATGTTATAGTCAGTATGGCCATTATTCCTGTATTATGTAGCCACTTTGTTGCTAGACCACAATTCATTGTGATTTCATAGTCAGAACAGCTGCTTCTGATCCAGTTCAGCTTATTGCATGACATTTAGTTGTGAATCATTGCAAAGTAATTGCGTGCACAACGCAGAACTTACAGAATTCTTGCCAGTTGTTGGTGTAAGAGAAAGGTCAGTGGATGCTGTGTACCATGGTCGGTTTGTATAGTTTCTCAAAAAAACAGTTTTCTAATTCTAATTTGGGTTCCTTGCTAGGATATCACACAACTTTCATTTCAAAGCTGATAAGGAGAGAGAATTTGCATTTCTCAGAAGGATGGAAGAGTATGAAGAATTATTAAACTAGATAGCTTAAAATGTAGAGAGAGGTCAAATACCTGTAGAGAGGATTATGGTCCCCTGTGTTTTGAAGTAGATTTCATGAACACCAATTGTACTTTGTTGTATATGTAAACTTTAAGATACCAATTTAAGAAGATCAAAAATAAGTATGTTCAGTGACTGAAACTGTGAAACTGTATGTGTTTAGTAATGTATGTCTGATGTTTCTTTCCACCCTTCTTTTAATAGGTTTTTCTAATTATACATTACGCCCCTTTGGTGAACTCGTTGGCTGAGGTTATACTTAATGGTGACCTCTCGGTGTTTTCTTCTAAAGTTGAACAAGATATACAGAAAAACTCAGTAAGTGGCCAACTAATCTTTTCTTTTTAGAGGCAAAGAAAATATTTGAAAAACAAAATCTGGAAACTGATAAGCTAAGGTGATTGTGTTTAGGAGAGAGGAGCAGCAATAGGAAATTATAGCTTTTGTTGTTAGATATGATAGCAGAAAAATGCTCTGTGCAACTTAGAATATTGCAGTATCTTTTTGTGCATGTGTATATATTTCAGGTAGTGGTATAAGAATGTGTAGGACACTAATTAAAATACTTAGTTCCTTCTGCCGGGGTCAGACACTGCAAAGGCTTCCATCACTTTGATGGGACACTTTTGTAATCCAGTCCTCTGTGTTCAGTTTTTGTTATCAGCCCTTTGGTAGTGAAATAGAAATGAGTCATCAGAACTTTCCTGTGAAATGATTTCATTACACAAGTTGTAGCAGAAATGAGAGACTTAGAAAAAAAAGTGTCCTTATGGTATATTGTTTGAATATAGAAGGAAATAAAGATTTTTGTCTGAATATTCCCAGTGTTTTAGCAGTAAAACTGATCATCTCTGAAAGTATGCATAAATGTGCATAAGAGAATGTAGACCGGCCACAAATAGATGGGAGTGCTATCACTTTGTCCTTGCTCTTGTACCTTCAGATTTAATTCTGTGTAGATGTTGCTAGATGCTGTTGTTAGTGTTTTTCCAAGTGTGTGTCATGTATATGATTTTTTTCCCTTTTGTTGTGGGTTTCACAGTTTGTGAAATGCTTGTTACTTTTTAAAGGCCTGTTTGGGGATGGTAATAAGAAGTATGACCTTACTTTGGTAAGAGGCTTCTGACTGTAGTTTTGTCCAAAGATTGAATGTGTCCTCTAATGTCTCACTAGTCAGCAGAGTTACTGCTGAATGTTTGATTTATAACAAGCAGTGGATTGGTTCTTATGCACATTCTTTCCCAGCAGTGGCTATAGCTCTGAGGGTTTCAAGGGGGAGATATGCTTTGACTCTTCCATGATACGAGTCAACTTCTCCAAATTTTTTCCTACTGTGCAGTGGAAGCTGCGTGGGCTGATCTTAGCCAGTACCTTTTGGGTTCTGTTTTTTGTACTGTGGACCTTGATATTTTATTGAAAAAATTTCAGTCAGCTCTACCATTCCACTGCATGCTTTAATATAAAGGAGGCTCTTTCTTGTGTTAGCAAATGCCTGACATTCTGCTAGCTGTGTACTGAATGTCCCGAGTGTTACTTGTGCAGAAGCAGCTTTGTTACAAGGAAATTTGTGGCGAGAAGGTGGGGCACCAGTTGTTGCAGAAGTGAGATTTTCTTTTCCTGTCCCATCACTGTACAGAGTTACAAAGTATCTGTATCATGTTTGTGAGCTTGCACTGACTTTACAGGTATTAGGGGTTTCTTACAAACATCTGTTCATCTGTTCTCTTATGTTTGTAATACTGTTTAGGTTGCTGCGTCTTGCTTGTCTTAAAGATGTGTCCCCGTGGTGTGTAAACTGGGAGTTCTGCCATACCTGAACAGGTAGAAAATAGGAGGGATATTGGCTTTCTAGGATAGACAGTAAAACTGCTGGAGGTGGAGCTTTGTTACAGGGAGAGCAGAGTAGTGGTGATTTTGGTGGATGAGGAAAAAACTTCATGGGAGAAACTTTAGTTTTTAGTAAATTCAATTATATTCTTCAGTGAAACCTTGGAGAGGAGAACCTGTGCTTGTCAGAAAGCCTACTGGCAGACCTTGGTTATTTGCAGAAAGAGCAGGGAGTAATCTTCAGCAGAAGAGCTCCATTCCCTACTTCCAGTGAGGGGAGCTATCAAGTGAGCTGCTCTCAGTTAAGGGTATGAACTACTACATATATCACACGGTGTTTTCTACTGATACACAACTCAGTGCAGTGAGGCTAAAGTCATCTCCCGATATGGAGGCATAGACAACTTAAGGTGAGGCAGTTTCTTGTTGCTCTGTAATAGGACCTTTTAGAGCAGAAAGCTTATATTTGAACATTGTTGGCCATTTCATGGGCTATTCTTGGGATTATAAGGTATATTAGGATCATTGCAAAGTTATCACTGTGGTATATTCTGTTGCAAAGAAATTACAAACTTCTATTGAATAATGGAAACTATTTCAGAAGCTACTTTAGAATTGCTTCTTCTGAGGTTAGTAGACAAAAGTGATGAGCAAATTTTTTAGTTTACTTTTTGACTGACTTGAGAGTTGTGTTTGTTCTTAAGTCAGACCTAGATTTGTCTTTACTACTTCCTTTATTTTATAATTTCCCATGGTAATCATTCTGGTACTCTTCTAAGTTTATTGTTTTGGGGCTGTGTGTGTTATGGCGAGCCCCAGTTATCTCTAAAGCAGTGCTCTGTATCTTATGCTGCTCATCTCTTGTAACTGATCTGTCTTGATATATTTAAATTGAACTGTAACTGTCAGTTTCTAACTAGCATGTAGTTTCTAAAACCCAAAGTAGAACCTCATGTCTGTATTAATCTTTCTAATAAAATGAATTAAAGGTATAGAGTATGGACTGAGATTACCAGAAGCAAGGTCGCATATCCTCGTACAGACTAAATGAGTAAGGGTTGCAGTTGCTGTGTGTGAATGCAACATATCCAGAGTTATTTAGGGCAAAAGAGCAATGATAGTTGTCACAACAGGAAAAAAAAAAGTACTTTTTTCCACAAATTTATTTACAGTAAAAATCACCAGCCAGTCTGACTGCTGATAGCTTATGAGTAGGCAATAACTTACCCATGGACATCTGCTGAACATCATAGGGCAGTAGTGATTGCCCAACCTCCATTGAACGAGTTCTCCACCTCAAAGTACAGCAAATTTAAGATTCTTTCTGTATTTTTTTTCCCTGTGTTTCTGTTTTTAGGTGTCATCAGAAGAAATACTAACTCTTATCTCATTATGAGGCTTGAATATGTATAGCCAGCAGAGTGTATTTAAACTTCTTAGCTGTCATCACACTAAGGTTTACCTTATTTCCTGTGAAATCTGTTTTCCTGCATAACTCGGATGTGGGCCAGTTCTACCTATTTCATGTTTCTTGGTTTCTTGTTTAACCTACTTTCTCCTTCCCGTAAAAGTTGTTACTGGTACTGCCTTGTTTTACTAGCACACATTGCACAGGATAAATCATTATTGAAAATATGGTTGAAAGACATTTGAAAAGTATAAAATAGCAGCATCTCAAACTGTATGATCAGTTTAGATAAACCATATACTATGTAAATTAATTTTAAGTGTGATTTTAGAATAAGTATATCCTGTTCTGATAAATATAACAAGGCTATATATATGTTGACTTTTTTTCTCAACATTCTTTCTTGAGATGGACCAGACCATGGTTCACTGTCTAGTGGTCTCTTCTGTTATTTTGCTCATATGGCTAACAGCACATTAGAAATGCAAGGATGTTAAGTACATGCGTTCTTCATAAAGAAAGTAGCTACAGGAGTCTAGGAAGAAATTGTAACAAGTAAATGCAGGAAGGGGAAAATGTGTTTTCTTTTTTCCCCTGAAGAATAGGACTTAATGAGTTCTTCCCTTTTCTTATGAGTTTTCTGACCAGAAACCATCAATAAAAGGTAACCTGGTTGTAACTCTGGTTGTTTTATAACCTTCCTATGTTGCAGTTTGATCAGACTAAAAATAGGTTACTGGGGAACATAATGTGGTAAATTGTACATTGTGGGTTTTTTGGTATTGTGAAAGATTCTTCCTACTATATGGTTTGTTTCAGTGCCAAGTGTGAGGTGACATGCAAGATTTCTCTATGAACTTTTTAACAAAGCACATTCAGAGAAACATTTTGGCTTTTTGACTTGTAGAGAGGGCTTCTTCGCAGATCTTTTCCTAATCTCTTATTTTTTGTTCCTTATTAAGTGAAGGGAAGGATTTTTCCAAACTTTTTCTTTGAGGTCTGTTTGCACTCATCTACAATGCTTATTGTACTTCAGTCACCTAAGGCAAGGAATGTAATCAGTTTTGTATTTACTCTAGTATTACTTCTTTTCTCTTGCTTGCCCTTAAATTTTTGACCCTTTAGCCAGCATCAGCTAGATGTGATTGAAGTACTGAAGTCTGAAAGGTAATGAAGTTTCTATAGCAGTCTTGTTCAGCGTAAACCTGTGCTGGCAGGAAGCTCCTAAACCATGTGTTTCACTTCTCAGTACAAAGAGTTTTGACTGATCAATGTTTATAGCTCTGGGTGAGAGAGAGCATGTGCTCTGGTAATGCAGCTGGCAAAGAACAAAGAATACTTTGTTCTCTGTTGTTAGGAGAGCAGACGCTCTTGGAGATACTTATTTCCTCTAGGAGAAATATGTTGTCTAAATTTATTTTCTTGCTCTGTAAATTAATAATCAGGAAAATTGGGTAGTGATTGAATACTGTTTGCCTTCTTGTCCAAAAATAGTGTTTTGACTTGAAAGATAAACTTCTGATATCTTTGGGTAGAACAAAAGTGTATTAAAGTCTAACAAATGAAGTGGTGTTGTTTTCCAGACTTGGTAAGTCAATGTCGGGAGGCCCAAAACAGGTTGTTGTTGGTGCCATTTATTCCTAGTTGATATACAAGGACTAGTATGCTGCTGAGGGAAGCTTAAGATTCAAAAAAAGCTCATGGCGTAGAGCATTGTTTTTTGTCCTTACTACTGCCAAAGACATTTAAAGAGTGTATTTCTTATTAATACATTGCTGTCAACATACACTTTGAATTTTGCTGCCTTTATCTTTTTTGCAAAAGGTGTCTTAATATTGTATGTACTAGCTGTCTCACCTCCTAAGTTCAAAGAAGGGAAAAAAATTAATAAACTTCTCTTGATAAAATAGGTAGTTTGTATCTTCTTATCTCAAGGTGGCATACTTTTTAATGATAGAACTTTAGGATATGTTGCTTTGGAGATAATTGTTCTACTGATGATTTGATACAACTTGAGCTCTGCTCTCTTGTATTTTTAAAAAGGGATTTGAGATTTGTAAGTAGTATGCTAATGTACATTCTAAGAAAACCCCTCTTTTCTATGAACTGAAGTTTCTTTATCAATTAGAGTTAAAAATGTCTTGCTTTAACTCAGTGTAAACTCTTCAAATTTACAGGCAAAGTCAAGTATCAGATGTTTCATAAAACCAACAGAAACGCTTGAGAGATCTCTTGAAATTAACAAACAGAAGGGGAAGAAGAGGGTGCAGAAAAGACCCAACTATAAAAATGTTGGTGAAGAAGATGAAGAGGAGAGAGGATCTGAAGATAACCAAGATGACCTAGATAAAAGTAAAGGTACAGAAGCGAGTTCAAAGGGCATCAGAACAAGCAGTGAAAATGAAGGTGAGTATACCAGCAAATAAAAATGATGCTTACAATTTGGATAATTTTATTTACTGTATGGACCTGGTCATGATCTGCTACATGACTTGTTCTCTTGTTGCACTAGGTAGATATGGGACCATTAAAGTTGTTTCAGTCTTTGGCTGTATTTTTTTTTTGTTATGGTAAATTATTCTGTCAGAACGTGTACTTCTAATCTGTCTAAAAGCTATGCAAGTGTTTTCATGTCTTCCTGTAGTCTGCAGCCCTTCTCACAAATGCGTGCCTTGTGCCTAGGTGTACGTGATTATGGGGCACTTTATAAGTAGACTTCACGTTTTTGTAACTTTTCCTTCTGTGGCAATGAAAATGGTGTAGCCGCTTTACCTTTGTAAGGTGCTTGGGAGTATTTTATGTATGTTTCAATGGTGAAATTCAACAAGTGTGCTGAAAGTGACAGTACGTGGTAGAAGATGATATTAAATAGACCAAAACTGAAGAAGACATCTTTAACTTTTAGATTTTTAATTACAGGTTTTCAGCATTTTTGACCTAATGCTAACATTAAGAAGAACTGGTTTTATAGGATGAGTGGTCTCACAGCATATAGTAACTGTTTATTTTGCTAGTTAGTAACTATTGGAAGGATGTACGTCAGAAACTAGTCTTTAGACATAAATTGAGAAAAATGTGGGAGAATTAATTGCATGCAAGCAATTGAAAACAAGACCTTTATGCTTTGACAGCCCTTTCCATAGTTGCATTTTGATTTAGGTAAGCAGTCTGTTCAAGAAGGCTTTTCTTAAATGATGTCAAATAACTGATGCATTGTCTACCATGATTTGAAGAAAATATATGATCTGTTGTTTAAACTGATGCATTTAGTAGTCATCTTTGTCCAAATTCTTAAGAAAAAGCTAGATTTGGTCCTAATGTGTCTACTTAAAGCCAATAGGTATGAAGCACTCAGGACCAGGTATCCTGTTTGCTGTAATGGTAGATACCTATTTACAGCCTCTGTGAAACTTGGTGTCTATCCATGCCCCAATCTCACCAGCATTTTCACAAAGAATTTTTTTTCCAGAAAGAGGTTCTATGTATTTTCTTCCTGTGGTTTGAAGGGGAGGACAATTACTGTTGCTTGTTTATTTGACAAAATAATAGGTACATATACATATATTATTTGTATAATTTTCTTATGGCAGTTAAATTCCTTAAAGAAATGTAAACAAACTGTTTTATTGTGAAGAAAATTTGCCTATATCTACTAATTTGTTAACCTTTCTGAGGTTATGGTTATACCTCATATGTGTAGTTGCATCAGTCACTTTTAATGCAAAATAGAAAAATACAAAAGAGTTTGCAATAATTGTTAAAAATATCAAATTGTGTTGTGCGTTTTTTTTGTTTGGTTTTTCTTTTTAGAAATAGAGATGGTAATCATGGAGAGATGTAAACTGTCAGAACTGTCTATGTCTACTGTGACAGAACAGAATACAACAGATGAAGAAAAGAGTGCAGCTGCCTCTGGGAGTGAGATAACAAACTGGAACAGGTATAAAGGAACTGTGATGTAATTTTCTGGGTTGCTTCCTTACTTGCTCTCCTGTTAAATCTCTCACTTGTCTTAAGGGATGTCTCAAATCTGCCTCCAATTAAAATCATAGTTCTTGTGGCTCACAAATAAGTGAGGCAACAGAAGAATGGGATATGGCCTTTCTACCAATCAGTTTTGGAAACAGTCCTGTTCTTTTGTTAAGTTTGTGCTTTCTGTTATGGCAGTTGTGATATCATAAGTTGGTAAAGTTGAGTTACAGAATATTAACACAATAAAACCAAAATATAAATGTTTTAATTCCAGAATTTTCTAAAACTCTAAGCCAAAAGAAGTTTTCTTAATGATATCTGTTGTCACATCTGTCAATTTTGTATACATCTATAGGGAAAAAAAAAAAAAGCGGAAAATTCCTCAGTTCGGGGCTGAATTTTGCAGAATTTTAGTAGTAGTGGTTACAAATAAACCCTACAAACCTATGTACAGTTTCCAAGGTCTGTTAGTATCTCTTAGGGTTATTGAAAACTTCTCTTTGAAATGCAGTGCTCAAGTGTTTCTGGGAGCAGAAATTTCCCTGACTTCAAAATTTAAACTTGGATATATTAAATACCCATAAGACACGTTCTCAGTAAGAATTTTGCATTCTTGTTCTTAGAAACAGAAAACAAACTGAATGTGCCATCTCTGACACAAAAGCAATTGCAAACACATCCCTTGGGGAAATGCACATGTTTAATAGGATTTCAAATTTATTTTTAAACTTGGGAAGTGCTGTCTGCTATTCCCAGAATTTCATTCTGTCTCCATTATGGCTTTGTAGCTTAGGTTACATTCATTAATAAAGACAACATTTAGTTTTCATTGTAAATGTGAAATTGAACCTTGACTTGAACTGGCTTTAAAATACGTTGTTCTAGATTATTGATATTTTGACTAAAATATGTGCCAGATGGCTTTTAGAAAGAAATTAGGAATGACTGCATTGAATACTAAAGCAACTAGGATGCTCAGGTCTTAAAGTGTGAAATACTTACATATAAGATGCCAGTGCATTTGGCAAATGTCTGCATTTTCGGACTCTTCTGAACTGCAGATTATGATCTGACAGCATCCTGCACCTTTTCTAAAAATAAACAGCACTTAAGAACATGCAGAGCTAAAAATGTTTTTAAGATAAGGAGAGACCTTGTGTAGGGCATTTCTGGCCTTGGTTTTGTACATGAATTTTTGGAAATATGGATGGATAAGCTACTATAGTTTAAGCTTTAGTCTTATTCAATATGCCAAATGCAATATTTGAATAAGTATCTAAATCTCTCAATAAATTTGCTCAAGTGTGTTGTCGTGGTTTAACCCCAGCTGGCAAATGAGCATCACACAGCTTCTTGCTTACCCCCCACCCCTTCCGCAGTGGGACAGGGGAGGGAATCGGAGGAAAAGGTAAGAAAACTTGTGGGTTGAGACAAGAAAGGTTTAATGATTGGGGGGGGGAAGATAATGGAGAGGAAAACAGTGAAAAAAGAGAGAGACAAGACAAAATCCAAGAAAAAACAAGTGATCAGCCACTCACCACTCACTGACTGATGCCCAGCCAGGCCACGAGCAGCGATTGCCACACTTAGCCAGCTCTCCCTAACTTATATACTGAGCGTGACATCTTATGGTATGGAATATCCCTTTGGCCAGTTTGGGTCAACTGTCTTGGCTGTGTCTTCTCCAGCTTCTTGTAGAAACACAACTTGGAGGGCAGAGGCTGTATGAGAAGCTAAAAATGTCCTTAGCTTAATGTAAGCCTTGCTTGGCAGCAACTAAAACATCGGTGTGTTATAAAAATTATTAGCACAAATCCAAAACATAGGCTCATGCTAGCTGCTGTGAAGAACATTAGCTATCCCAGCCAAAACCAGTGCATGTGTAGCTCCTTTCCTACCCTGGTTGGAATCCCTGAGTCTTGTGGATAAGGTGCCATGTAGTAGCGGAAAATGCAGTGATCTTTTACGCCATGCTTGAAGTGGGAGGAACTTCCATAACTGGAATAATCATTAATGACTGTGATGATGGTGATTCCTAATGTGTTGCAGTCTTCAATTGTGGACATGCTTCACAAGAATAAATAATTTGAGGAATACTTGTATGGCCTCTTATGTTTTTCTTCTATCAAGTCACTAGTAAGAGACTAGTAAAGGAAGGAAATGCTTAGAGTTAAGAAATGCATTTGAAAATACTTGCCATATAGCCTTTAATATTAAGTGGTTTTTAAAATTGTCCAATAGTTGTTGAAAAAAAGGGAAAACAGCACAATTTACTGTTAAAAATCTGTAGCTGTAAAAGCTAAGTCAAGTTTTCAATTTCCCTTAGCTATTGTATGACTGTGAAGAACATAAAAGAGAAAGTTGAAGTATTTTTGGTGTAACTTAATTTTGATGTGCCTCAGTACTGGAAAGTTTAAGACTAAGGGCTTGTTTTAAATTAACTTCCTTTTTCATATGCTACACAGCAAAGTTTTGTTGGTTTTTTTTTTTCCAGAATGCAAAACCTTCATGCCACGTTGTGCCTTCTGTTGCTGCTTGCTTACAGCTGAAGTTTTTCTAGGTCTACCCTATGTTTAGTCTATATGAGGACCTGTTGATGAGTGGGATTCCTAGAAGTTGTTTCGGCTTCAGATTATTGAGTCTTTGATAATGCAGATAGATATTGTGAAAAAACATCTGGAATGAAAATAATTTCTCTCACTGCTATAGTTTTTTTTTAAATTATGTGATTTCACTAAGTAGTTTGTGGGGGAAAAATAATGAAAAATGCATTAGAGGTAACAGAAGTTGTTAATGGAACTGATGTTTCTGCAGCTTTGACCTCCTAAAACATTGATTTTAATAAAATTAAAATAAATATTACTTTTACATTGTAGGTCAGTTTTTACAGTAATTACCATCTGTTGGTCTGACAACAGACCTAGTGTTATCTAGCATTTAAGTATTTTAATAATCTTGAACCTGGTATCTTGGTCATTTCTTCTACAGACTTTGAAGATGAACTCTGCTATGTGTAGAGCGCCCTGTTTCAGGGTGTCATGAGGCTTCTAGGGCTTGTTTTTAATGCTTAGAAAGACTGAAGGCACTCTTGGTTTATTTTCAACATTGCTAATTCTTTAGGGTGTTTTTGCTTGAGTAGTTCTGTTCTACAGTAGGAACATGATGTGGGAAATTTGGCTTAGGTGCATGCAGCAGTGTTGAATTTGGGCAAAGAGAGATCATAACTCAGTGGTATTAAAGGATATCATGGAGGATCCTTGTAATCCAGCTTCAGAAGTGCATAAACGCAACTGCAATGTCGTGAACTGAGCAGTGTTCTGTTATTCTTGCCGTAGCCTTGTTTTAGTAAAAGAGCATGTGGTTGCAATGTGTGTGGAGCCGACAGGAAGTGTTAAATACATTGTTATGACTGCGGTTGAGTGCCTTACTGGGTGGGATATGGTGTGACCATGAGGGGGACACAGGTCTGGAATAGGTGCAGGAGGATGTTGTGTTCTCATCTTTGGTAGCCCTGCTGACCCATAGCTAACTACAGCAATGGGTTTGTAGTGGATGCTTCTTGTCTGCTAGGTCGGAAGATAAGAAGATGTGTTTGTTTTTATGCCTTTGGATGATATTCTTCTGAATTTTACTTTGATGTAGTTTAAATAATGTAAATGCTATAACAGCGCTTCTGCACACACTAAATGTGCTATAAACAACCCAGTAAATGTGTGAACAATCAGTTCTTGTGGAAGTATTATGTAACATATCCTGTTAAAATGTCAGAATTAATGTCAGAATGTGAATACAAGGCATGGTTATAATCTGAGTACTCTCAAACAGGTTAATTTTTTGTTTAAAACCTGAAAATGTGCATTACTGTATATTTGCCTTATTATTAGCTACATGTAGAACAAGATCATTACTAATTTTGCTGTAGATATGTTCTTTTTCTTCTTAACTGTTTTAAAATTACTCCTTTCCACAGGCCTTTTCTTGATATGGTCTATAATGCACTGGACTGTGCTGAAGATGATTACTATGCCCTCTTTGTGCTCTGTCTTCTATATGCAATGTCACATAACAAAGGTAAGCAATTTTTGCTTTTTCAAAGGAAAACTAAATGAGACACATGGTTTTAGACATTAGCTGGTAACTTATTTTATTCGTGCCTTAAACAGTGAGAAATTCTTTACGTGGGGGGGGCAGAAATAAGTATGCTGTAAGTAAAAACAGTTGCTAAGAATCATCTTTTTAAGAACAATTTGTTAGAAAGCTTTGTGAACATCAGATAACTTTTTTTACATAGGTTTCCTGGAATTGGAATAGGATTATTATTTCATTTTTAATCTCTTAATTACAGTGGAAGCCCACTATATTCAATCTACATATATATGGGATCCAATTCTTTCCTGCTTTGCATGTACTGTGATTGCTATATGTAAGCTAAGCATAAAAAGTTGAAAAACTTGTCCACATATGTTAAAATAAGATCTTTGTATACTTTAAACATACAGATAATGCACAAGACCTGAGAATCAGACGTGATTATGGAAGTCATGTATTGCCTATTTCTATGCAGCTTTGATAGTCCTTCAGTAATTCTTTTTATACTGTGCAGTTCCTCAGCAGCCTTCTTGTCCATTGTGCCATAACTGATCAAAAGCTGTTTGTCAGTGTTCTGTGCCATAATACATCTTGCAAGTCTCTCAAGGAGCCTGGACTATTTTATAAACTAGCAAAACTGTTAAATATGTACTTCATTATAATTCAGACAGTATGAGAATGTGTAACCTTTTCTGAGGGATGAGTATGGTTAGCTTTTTTGCTGTTTATCTTTGTGTGAATTTTAAATAGATTCCTTATGGAATAATAATGTAAACATCCCATGCATGTGAATAATCATGTGTTTCAGGAATCAAGAACTGAATTTCAGTTATTTTCTGCTTATGAGGATAATTTCTGTAACACACTAGTAATTTAAATGAATCAACTGCTACAGTAAACTGAGCAAAAGAGCATCAGGTGTGATGGTGTGCTTAAAAATAAGGATTCTCTTCTAGCTTCAAGGTGCCTCTAGTGGGCAAGTAGAGTAGAGATGAGAGTGTTGAGGGAACTAGCTAAGCTGAGCCCTTCCTCTTCTCCCTCCATCCTCTTGATGGCTTTATCTTTTTCCAGGAATGAGGAATGCTTCTCTAAGATTATAATTTGCAGACAATTTCTGGGCTTTCACAGTATCTTATAGATAATAATGCAACTGATATCACCAAAGATAGCATCAGAGCCTTGCCATGCTCTAGCCCTCTCTGACCTGCATCTCTGATTTCCCACCTGCCCCTGCAACCAGTATACTTCTTCCAGAAAAAAATGCCTTCCCTCAAGGGACTTGTGAGCATCACTGTACTAGAAAACGCTGATGTCGGAGATGGATTCTCTTCTCTTAAAATTCATTAGTTGAAGCTGTGAATAGCCAAAATAATTATTTGTGAATGTTACAGTTTCAGAGAGTCCCTAGAAGTCTTTCAACGGCATTGTAAAGAAGTAAGCCTGCACTCTAGGGTTGTATTTCTTAAGAATTCTTCTATTTAAAACCATAGTCCTTCAGCCCACTGTATTTACTTTCAGTGTAATTAGTCACTCTTCAATATCCTGTTCCCAGAAAAAAAAAGTCCAATATCCTCTCTTGTTCAAAGATGATTTGCTTACATATATAGTATTGCTGTAAACAGTGAGGAATGCAGCAGATGCAGCCTCTTGCTGCTTAGTTTCTGCAATCTCTTTGCTGTTTGTTTTTCACCCAATATCCAGGGTTACCAAGAGAAATACAACAGGTGGTGAAATATCTACCTTTTAACATGCTAAAAATATCCTGTCCCTAAAACTGGAGATACCTTTTATGCATTTAAGGGGTCAAAGTCTATGCTTCATTCTTTGGTGGTCACATCAGCCCTCTCTAAATTAAAAAATCTTTAGGCTATACTCATTGGCTTCCCTTGTCAGCAATTAACATTAGTCTGTTGCTCTTTGGAAGCTATTTTCCTTTCTCCCCCTGTCCTTCACCGTAAATCTTAGGTGCTAGACAGATAATGACATCCAGTTTTAGTCTTCACTGACTTTGACCAACCCACTCCTCTTGTGTCCTGCCTGTAATAGACGGCTTTCAGCCTTGAGGGCCATGGAAGCATTGCCTGCCTTTAAGAGGAGGGGTTTTACAAGCTGCTGATTTAGTGCCCCTGTTTGATGCAAGAGCAGAATGCTCTTCACAAGCTCAGGAGCTGTACAGCTGCTCCTTTCTATACCAAATTCAATATCAGTTATGGAAGCATGTCAGGACTGAGCTGCAGCCAATGTTTATATTTGAATTCAGTATAATGCAAGAAATCTGTCTGCCTGCAGACTTTCTCAAGGTATGGGTTGATGATCCTTTTCTTTACAAAAGGGTGTGAAGGTCTCCCTCCAAACATGGAGAGGCCAAGTTGTTTCCCCAGTTTCAGGAAGTAATAAATCTCTAGGAGTTGTGTGTCTAGGATCTGATTATCTATTTACCGTCTATCTGACAGAGACAGTAAATGCTCTAGTGAGCACTTGAGTCAGTTCAAACAAACAGGTAATGAATTAGAAATTCAGGATGATTTCTTGTGACTGAATGCAACACAGGCTTGTCCTCTCTACACTACAGGAAAATTAATTGCAGTTTTCTGTTTCAGTATATATATGGGCTGTTTCAGAATTTCTGATTTTCTGTCTGGTCAGTTTGACTTTTACCTTTCTTCCCCTGTGCTACTCATTCTGTCACTCTGGAGAAGGCTGCACCAGAGCACATATAAAAAAATCTGACTTACCCTAGTTTAACCAAGAATTTTGGTTTCAGGCCTTGCTTCTAAGGGAGCAGCCTTCTCAGTGTCTGTCAGTAATGTAGACACCCTGTTGAGGCTTTTGATTGTGACTCTTTCCATTTGGATACTGAGTCTGCACTTTGCACCATGTTCTTGAACAAGTTTAAAGAAAATGTGCTTATTTTCACCAGCAAGAACTATCCAGAAGATAAGAAAGGATCCCAGTAGGTACTCATATGCAGCTAAGTAGCTTTGTTGCAAATTGTATCTGAGAGATCTTTAATTCCAGAAGGAGCCCTTCATATATGCTGCTAGAGCATGTAGTGTGTCTCAAGAATGCAGAACTCTGCATTCTTGTCAGGCAAATGACAACCAAATGATAGATGCTGAATATGAATTCTTTCACTGTGATTTCACTTTGGCCGCCTTGAACACCTGCTTGGTCCTGCCTCATTTGTCACCCATGTTTTCTTAGTCTCCTTTAAACCCAGCTGGTGGCAAACAGATACCACACAGCTGCTTGTTCATTGTCCCGCCTTCCCAAGGATGGGGGAGAGAATTAAAGGGAAAACTCACTTATGGGTTGAGATAAGAGCAATTTAATAACTGATCTACAATAAAATTGAAAGTAATGATAAAAGTAATACATACAAATATACAAATGAGTGATACACAGTAAGTTGCTCACCACCTGATGACCAAGGCTCATCCCATTCCTGGCTAATGATCCTGGAGTAGGGAGAATCCTGAAACCACAATCCCAGAAAGGATAAGAGCCTGAGTATGTGAGAGATCGAGAGCTGACCAAGAGGGTGACACAACCCCAAGAGAGGGTTGACCCAGAGAGAGCGAGAGAGCACTTCTGGACAGAGCCTCATCTATATACTGGGCATGACCTGCGTGATATGGAATACACCATGGGCTAGTTTGGGTCTCAATCCTAAACCTAAGGTCAAATCCTAGACTAGTAACTGGGGCTGTGCTCCCTCCCAGCTTCTCCTGCACCTGCAGACACTGGCACGGCCGAGAAACTGAAAAGTCCAACTATCCTCGCAGAAAATATGAACGTCAGTATGTTATCAGCTGCCTTCTCAGCACAAATCCAAAACATAGGCTCACACTAGCTGCTGTGAAGAAAGTTAACTTTCAGCTGTCCCAGCTGAAACCAGGACACCATGTCCTTCTGTGAGAGCTTAATCTGCATATAGATATTCTCTAAGAAATGTTACTCATAAGCAGCTTTCCTTTCCAGAAGGAAAACTGTAGTTCTTTGCTAAACTGTTAGATGGCTGTGAATACTAATACTCTGATTGTCCTGGTTCCTTAAATGCTTCCTTCCCTCCCTCCCGCCCCCTGTCTTCAGTCTCATCATGACAGAGGACATTTGTATCACTGTAATTAATCTCCAACAGACCTGTATTAATTGTCCCAAGTACATATGCTTAGAGAAGAAATAAATCAGATATCAAAGAGGGCATTGTTATGTAGAGTTAACTACAAGTTTGGGGTTGGAAGAAACTGTAAGTCGCAATACAGTAATCTTCTGTTTTGTGGGGTTGTTATTACCATTCTTTAGCACAAGGACAGGGAGGTCCTCAGCAATCCATTACTGTTTTGTTCTAAGAGGTCTTACAGTAACCCATCTATTCTGAGAAATAACTTTGCTCTTTTAGAGGAATTGGTTGAAGGAAGATGGGTTTAGTTTCCTTACACAAGTCAGTGAGAATATGATTTGCATTGGGGAGGGTCCTAAATATGAGGCTACTAATTACACAATAAGAATCCTATTTTTAAAAAGACATATGAGCTGATCACTTCCTACTAAAACGGAATTTAAAATCAGACTTTCATTTTTTTCCCCATTTAGCCTTTAAGCTCTTCAGATGTATGGCTTGACTTTGATTTGATTTAGATGCAAACAAATATTCTGAAAATTCCAGATGCATTAAAATGGTTTGGATGTCACCAAACACTTTGGGGTTTGAGTGTTTTCATCCAGTAGGCACCATTTAAGGCTGAGATTTTTCAGTGATACCTAAATGTGTTTAGTCTTTCTGTTGTTCCTCCTTTTCCTTGTGATAGGAATTCAAAACTAACTTGCCTGGTTTTGTGTTGCTAACTACACTATTCTGGCAAAACTGTTACAGTCTATTAAATACTTACCTAATTTACGTTTCTTCCTTTATCTCCCACAAAAGGAATTGACCCAGTCAAGCTTGAGAGAATTCAACTTCCAGGTCAACATGCTGAAGAGAGAAATTCATATAATCATGTACTTGCAGAAGGGCTCATCAGGATAATGAATTATGCTGCACAACCAGGTATCACTTTCCCAATATTTTTCCTGCCAAGCTGAAATTTTTGAAGATTTTTTTAAAAGAAAAGCTACCTAGCCTCTTGTCTTTGAGGGGAAAGCATTTGTTGAGCATGCTCTTCAATGAATAGTGAGTAGATATGGTCTGTGAAAGGCAGCTATCAGGTTTTCCTTGGTTGTTGAGGAACCAGAAACTCCGGATCTCTGATGAATAGTTGTTTTTATACTCAGAACTGTACAGGGACCTGTTGTCTTAATTCCTACTTTGTGTTTTAGAATAAACAAAAAATATGAGATGTATACTGATTTCAGCTTAATGTAGGATTTCATCCTGAAAATATGATCTGTGGCACCTTTGCTTGTAAAAGTAATGCCAGTGGAGAAGTAGTCTTGAAAACTATATGGTACCCTTTGTTTATAGCAGTCCTTTGTCTCTAGAGGCGATAGCAGAGTTTCCCATGATTTTTCTTTAACTGCAGATTGTATTTTCAGTTCTGAACTGTTTTCCAGAAAATGTGTTGTTTTTTTCCCAACTTCAGTTTTTTGGTGAAATGAGGGGATACAAGGGATGACCTATTCCACGGAAACATGATTTTTGTTCAAGCCACAGCTCTTCTCCCTGCACTTCCCCTCTTAAAATTTCAAACAAGTAGAACTGGTTTTCCCCTGAAACTGGCACGCTAGCAATTTCTTGATGTCTGCAGAATAAAATATAATGCTTGTTTGACTCACAAGGCTGATCTACAGAGTACTAACTTGTTATGCTGATGTACCAGTCACAGATTAAAAGCACTTTTGTATATTAGGAGTTTGTATGTACTGTAGAAGGAAAGACTCTAAGATGAGGAAATGTGTTTCTTTAAACAAAAACACTTCTGGGGAGAGGTGGAAGTAATGTATTTTTATTAAGCTTGCTAAATGCTGTGTAGAACATCCTTTTCTTTTCGGGGGTACTGACCTTTGTTTTATCTTTAGTTTCTGCCGGGTTAGTGCTAACTTGTAAAATAGTAGGTGGGAGTTGGGGGTCTGGCTTTTGGGTATATTGTCTTAGTATTGATCACTGAGCTCAAACTGTACATTTCTAATATAATTTTGTTTTTAAATCCTTCTGAAACAATAAGCTTAAAATCTCAATGCATTATTTTATTCTGACTTGCCTAGATTCTCATATTCAGGCTGTATCTGAATTGTTTGAATTTTTTTGTAAGGAAGAACTATGCCTTATTAGTATGCTATTTACAAAACTTCCTTTCATCTTGTAGCTTTATCAATGCCAAACTTCTGTGATTCTTTTGTAAGTTTAGTGCAATTCAACTTGTGCTTAGATTGATAAAGGCACTGTTTTTCGCTTCTTTTCTAATAATATTAATCTTTATTGCCTTCTTATTGCATGGTTCTGCTTTAAATTTTCTTATGCTTTAAATTACTCTTCTAGTGCTTTTTTTTTTTTAATAGCCATTAGCACTGTAAGCTAGCATCAGTGCTCATCCTTGTCAGATAGGGTGTGTATGACAGAGGAGGAAAGTTTGTGACAATTGCAGAAAAGAACGGAAACATTTAAGAACATGGGGTAATGAGAAGAGCGATACTTAAACTTCGACTATTTTGTATATTGAAATTTTCTTTTTGCAGATGGAAAAATCCGTTTGGCAACTTTAGAACTTGGCTGCCTGTTGCTGAAGCAGCTTGTGTTTTCTAAAAATAGCTGCATCATAAAAGATGTTCACCTTGCTTGCCTTGAGGTAAGTATTTCCTTTCAAATTGCCAGTCACAGCATTACTTGTCTTTCAGTCTCGTAGCATAGTTGAATAAATTTGTTTCACTTCTGATTGCAGTTAGCATAAATGTGAAATTTGAGGTTCTAGAACATCTTTCCATTGGTGGCTGTGTGCAGTGAACATAAAAACTCGGTACCCCATGTTCTGTTCTCAGCTTTGATGTTACCTTGCTATTTAAACTCTAGTTTCTCAAGCAGAGTTATGTTTCATTTTCTCCCTGAAATTTGTATGTCATCCATCTCAACAATGTAAAGAAAAATGCTTTTGAAACTACCTAGCTCACATAAGCTGTATTTTCATAAGTGTAAGAACCGTGTTCTGTCAAATTCTGGGCTTGAGACTAGGAGTATGGGGATATTAATAGACAGTCTCTTCTGTATGAGTTTTTGTGTGTGTTTTTAATTGTGACTTTTGGGTAAATGATGTATTTACTTCATGAAGGATGGTTATTTCATGTTTTCTAGGGTGCAAGGGAAGAAAGTGTTCATCTCCTTCGTCGTTTCTATAAGGTATATATGCAAAATGCTATAAGAAAAAATCCTTTACATAATGTGGAATTAGAAGCAACTTTGCAGCCCAGTCTCTGCGTAGTGCCCAAGGCAGCACTTTTTTTAAGATGGGAACTCCATATTTGTGATAGAGAAGGAAGTGTTTCATTGGCGGATTCCTCTCCTTTCCTGCCCTTCCTGTATCTCACTGACGTACATTGCAAAAAAGCTGTTAGAAGTCTCGCGGGGTTTGTACTGGAGATCAGGTTATCACTCGTGTGCTTTTGTTAGAACTGCCGTGTATTTCATAGAACATTTCATTGGAACGTTTCTTGAATTTCATCATTGACACTGATATGGAATGTGTTTCTTTTTGGCGTTACTTTTTATTTATGTCTTACCTGAAATTATGATTAAAATTTTACTTCTTTTTTTTTGTTTGAGATTTCTGCAGCTTTTTGCCTTTTTTTTTCTCGTAAACAATGAGAGAAATACAATTTTTAGCCCTAGGCTCCTATATAAGGAGCGGTAAATCCATGACAGATTTCAAATGTCTAAAATCTCTTCTGATTTTTGTTAGAATTCTCTTGAAGAATGTAACTTTTGGTGGGTTGACCTAGGCTGGCTGCCAGATGTCCACCCAGCTGCTCTCGCTGTGTCTCAACAGGATGGAGGGACAATGCAAGATGAAAGAATCTTGTATTGGTTGAGATAAAAACAGGGAGATCACTTGCCAATTACCGTCATGGGCAAAACAGACCCAACTTGTCAAAAATTAATTTATTGCCAATTAAAATAAATATAGATAGTGAGGAAACAAAATACATTAAACAAACACCTTCCCCCTGCCTTTTCCCAGGCTCAGCTTCACTCCTTCATTCCTGGCTCTTCTGCCCTCTCCCTCTGCTGAGTGGTGCAGGGGGGATGGAATGGGGGCTTGCGGTCAGTCCGTAACAGTTCATCTCTGCTACTCCTTCCTCCTCACGCTTGTACCCCGCCCTGATGTGGATCCTCTCCTCCATGGGCTGCAGTCCTTTAGGAAAAACATCTGCTTCATTGTTCACAGAAGTCCTGCAGTTCCTTCAGGGCATATCCGCCTGCTCCGGTGCTGCAGGTGGATATCTGCTCTGCCATGGTCCTCTCCACGGGCTGCAGAGGTGCCAGCAGTGTTGCTGACGGGCTCGGCTGTGTCCTGCAGTGGGGCTGCTGGAGGCGGCTGGAACCGGCTGTGTCCAGTGCGGGGTGGCCCCCGCCTCTCCTCACAGAGGCCCCTGCAGCCCTGCTGCCAGCGCCTGGACAGGAACACCCAGTCCATAATTAAACAAAAACAAGCAAGTATGGCTCCATAGCTGTAAGGATTCATGATATGTCCATATCCCTTTTTTTCAAAGGGAGAAGAAATTTTTCTGGATATGTTTGAAGATGAATACCGAAGTATGACGGTAAGTGACACCCCTTCCACCCTGCCAGATCCTCACACCCAGATACACACAGGAGCAGGAACAAGTGCTTATTGATAACTACTGAGTATGCCCGTATCTTTCTTTCTGGGAGCAGAATTACAAAACGTGGGTGGTTTTTTTTTGTATCTGAGGAGTTGTGTCTACACTTTACATAAAAAGCTGTGAAGTTTCACATAAACAATTTATTAAATAAAAGCCTATTACTTTCTGAAAGTGAGTATATGAAAATTGCTTTATCCTGGGAAATGAGACATTGAATTAATTTTTTTGTTTTTTTAGTTATTAAACAGTGTAAAAATCTTCCTATATCTTTCTGAAGCTCAGCACAATTTCAGTTTTGAGTGGTTCCACTTTATTTACCAGTAGAGAACAGGGTTCTAGCGAGCAAATATTGGGGCCTTTGTCTCCTCTAGGAGAGGTGCTGCCTGTGCCACAGTACTGACTGTGAAAGTTTAACAGATTACTAAACGTGATCTCAGACGGTTTATATTTAACCTGTAAACATGTTTTAAAACAAGTGATTATCTCTTTCAATTCTTAGGTTAGAATTCGGATAAAAATACTTTGGTATTCCGTTACAGGTTTTGTTTTTTTTCCACGGTGGCACAGGAATTTAATGAGCAGCCACTAATTGCCTTTTTGAAAAAGCATGATCTACAGTTGGTGTCTTGCAATAAGTCTTTTAAAATGGAAAGCATCTTGCACATAATAACAGAATTATTTAGTGAGAAACACAATTTTTAGTAGTTAAGTATTTCTGTACTTTTAGTTTGAGAAGAGGCACTGATAGAAGCATCATTTTTATGTTGCGGATTCAGTATATGTGTAGGTTTTTCTGTTGTATCTCTATTTCTGAGACCGCTTTTTTTTATTTAACATAAAACACAGAGCTACACTCTGGAACTTGAACTTCGTTTTCCTTAGTAAATGGCTTGCTGGGTAGGCTGATTTAAGTGCTAAGTAACACTGATGACATCTTGTCAGATGAGTTGTGTAAATAACATGGTATAGAGCTTCTAGGAAGGCAGAAGTATACTTGCTCTGTCTGAATGACAAATGAAGGAAAAAGCTGTGTGTTCATTAATGATTGATGAGAACAAGTCAGAGGAGCATGTAAATGGAACACTGTAGTCCTTAGTATTTTTGCTTTCAACAGTGAGTTTCCGTTTTTAACATTCTTCACCTTTAAGATGTAAAATGCTGTTTAAACCAGTGCGCACTCATGTGAATTGCCTCTGAAGTAGTTATTTACCTGTTAGAAATTTTAGTTCTGTGTTCTCATTTGTTCCTGTTGGTCTATGTAGATTTCTGTATCTTTCTGCACATTAATTGAATGTGTTAATCCAGTGTTTTAGACACTGAAGATGAATTTTTCTGAGGTCAGAAAAATTGTCTAAAGACTATTTTTGAGTTTGCATGTGAGCTAGGCAGCAGTTCAAGACTGCACTGTGAAAATTCTGGACCTTGTTTCAGTCTGTTTCTTTTATGGTTTCTGACCATGGCAAAGTGGCCAGGAATGCTGCCAGTTACAGTTGGCTATTTTGGAATGCCCACATGACTGCATTTTTGTTCTATGCAGAAGATCATACAAGCAATAGGAAGGGCTTTTATACTTTTTAGCCATTCCAGCTGGCTTTCTGGCAAAAAGAAGCACATGTCACCAGTGCATGTGTATATAGTAGAACTTGGATGAAATTGCCCAAAGGTACAGAAGGATAGATACTTTGGACATAATTTTTTCATGAAAAGAAGCAACCATGTAAGGGAGAGACTCTGTTAGTGGCAAGATTGAAGGGAATTGTCTAGTGTGAAAGTTATTGCATTATTAGAGACTAGGGAGTTCCTTTTGGAGAGAAAAAGATATGGGTAACTTTTTATTGTGTTTAAAGTATTTACAGATTTGAGTCAAAACTTAAAAAAACCTGACAGAGTTTTGTTTTAATACTCATGAAATAGCTTTTCTTCCATAATCTTTGAGAGCTTTTTTTCCCCCTGTGTTTTTTTCAGTATGGAAACTTCAGCAGTGTGTTAGAGAACAATGAGCAAATATAAAATTGAGATTACATGTAAGGGGCTTGAAATAAAACCGATGGTATTAAAAATTCTCAGAATTCTATAACAACTCCTTCCTCTTAAAATATGCAACCATGAGTTGTATTTGAAAGTAAAGATGCAAATGTTTATTGTCCTGTATAGTAATCGATGTTAAAATATTTTTATAGATTAAACCCATGAATGTAGAATATTTGATGATGGATGCCTCAATCTTGTTGCCTCCGACGGGGACACCACTGACTGGTATTGATTTTGTGAAAAGATTGCCTTGTGGAGATGTGGAAAGAACACGAAGAGTGAGTAAGACTATTTTTCTTACATTTGTTCATGACAGAATGATGCCAAAGGCTTTGCATGATTCTAGAAATACAAATGTTTTTCCTTGAAAGCTGCTTGATTGGAAGCTTCAGCCATAAAATCATAAAGACTTGATGAGGACAGACCTGCGTGTAGAGTATGTAATATTCCCAGTGGAGAAACTTTTTATCTACAATTTCTTGTGTCTAGTCAATTCAATATGTGTTTGCACTGGGTTTTAAATTTTTTAGTCTGTGGAGACATCTGCATAAAAAGGCACTTTGATGGCACTCATATTGTCAGTTTCCTTTCGTGATCTGATATCTCAGTCTGTCTTTCATTATGTTCCTATTGTAAGAATCTCCACTGGAAGGCTGGCTGGCTGGCTTCATATTGCTTGTGTTTCTAGACATAGCAAAAAATAGAATTCTACTCAGGAGTGTTCATCTTGCCAAAGTAATTCATGATGGAGATCTTGAAAGTGAGGAGAAAAATAGCAAAATATCTAGTTTTATGACTGACACAATCTGTAGAGGTGATACGGACCTGAATAACATCATCATTATCAGCATTCTTGGGATAACCTGTTCTTGGCCTGTATCTGCTAGTGTCCTATAAGCCTTGCAGGGCCAGTAAGTCTTAAAGATATATTACTGCCTGACATTATTATTTGAAAAGTGCTGTTCTTCTGGTAGCTCTGCATTTATGTAAGTGTATATGTTAAGTATATTGAAGTAGTCTTGAAAAAAAAACTTATTTCCTGGAATCTTCTGAAAACTTTTGTTTTCATTACTTATAATGAGCCACACAACTTTTGTTATCACAGCAAGTTAAGTTTGATAAAGTACAGTGAATTACCTTGAAAAGTATTGTTCTTAGAAAACAAAAATGCTTCCTAGAATTCTGTCTGGGGCATTTAAATAGAATGATACTTAGAAATATATGTTAATAGAAACTGACTGCTCCATGTTTTTTGATGTGCTAAATAAGGAATAGCTTGACTTTGGTTGGTGGATATTAAAAAATCAGTACAAATATTCCTGTAAATTCTTTGGGATGGAAGAGTCTTTCTCGTCAGCAAGAACTCCCAGAATGCTTCCTTATTGGTCCTCCTTCTGCTGATATCATTACTTTCTAAGTTTTAGTATTTCTTGGAATTCCTGTACTACATTCTTCCAGCTAGGCTTCCTCTCTTATGCTAAGTTGCCGTAACAATATGCTGAACTTATCTTGTGACATTGCTGCTGCAGCTTAACCTGCTGGAGGTCCTTTTTGCTGACAGTTATGAGTGGATAGTGATTCAATTCTGAGCACCGCATGGCATGATTCTAAAAAAGGTCTCGAGTTTTATTTCTCTAGCAAGTGAAAAGGTCCTGTACTGTGATTATATCATGAGTTCTCAGCTATTAGAGGTCAATCTTTTTAGGCTTTCACTTCTTTTGCTGTAGAAAGTCCCTCTAAGTGGCAAGCGGCAATTCTTTTCCTCTTAACAGCTTTAGGAGGAAGTCTCAGAAATTTGATATCTCTTGAGTTATCAAAGGCACAACTGCAAATCCAGACAGCCAGCCCCTCTGACTTAGAACATTAAAATGACCAAAAAGCTTTTAGGCCACTTTCTGAAATCAGTTACTGCTGTTTGATCGAGCCTTCTGCCCAGAATCAGATGCTGTTTTGAATTGTTGGTAGTCCAGTTACTGCTTGTTGGTTGCATCTCTTCCTTCGGATTTCTATAGTTCTGAAGATGGTACTACTTACCAGTCACCTAGAGTAATGCAAACTCGCTTACATGCTTATTTGGGAGGTGATGAACCGTATGGGTCTTGAACTTTGCACCTTGGAGTTTAAAGCAAACTCACTTACATGCTTATTTGGGACGTGATGAACAGTATGGGTCTTGAACTTTGCACCTTGGAGTACATAGCAAGCAAAGACTTTGAGAGAAGATTTTGAACTACCTGTGAAAATGGTATTTCATGGCAATGTAATAAGACAAGTGGTAAGTGGTAGGTTTCCCTGCAAATTGACATTTCTTTGCACATAGTATGCATATATAAATGAAGGAATCAGTGCGAAGTATACTTCATAATGCTTAGTTCTTTATTATAAATCGCAATTCATATTTGTTTCTACTTAACCAAGAAATTCTAGTCCACTGAACTACTCTGCTGTCTTATTGTGATCTAATTAAATGTCATAGGAAGTCACAACCAGAAGTCAGATGAAAAAAATTCTAGTCCACTGAACTGCTCTGCTGTCTTATTGAGATCTAATTAAATGTCATAGGAAGTCACAAATCACGTGCTTTTATGTTTATGTTGATAGCAAACTGAGGGCTGTCAGTATTGTAGGAAGCACAGTGTAGTTCTTTTTTCGTCTGATGTTCTTGTTTATAAATTTCTTCCTTGCAAAGGGTAAAGTTCTAATTTTCTTTCCTACTCCTGTACGTTATTCTGCAGTAAACGTGATTACATGTTTGGAGATGAGTCACATTAGTTTTCTAGGGAATGTATGCGAAGAAAATTACTGTTCTCTCTAGGAGGGAAAGGGGATTGAGGTGGAAATAAGTGAAAGCAGGCTGAGTGGTGGCTGCCCTCTGAATTTAAATAAATTAAAAAAAGAAAAGAAAAAACCAAAAATCCCACCAAAAAACCCACAGAAAACCAAAACAACAACAACAACAACAAAACCCTGTTGGCTTTGACTTTGGGGTTACCAAAAATGCAAGGATGTTGCTGTTCTTGATTGAATTTGGAAACTTTTAAACCCAATAGCATGAATTCTTCTTGAAGCATCTGATACTAAATCTGCTTTATTATAATCCTGTTTCATTTCAGTATGTTCAAAATACATTAGAATGCAATCTGCCTAAATGGGAAAGATCATCTCCCATTTTAAAGTGACTCTGCTCTTAAATCACAAGGCAGTGTTAACATCCTGTTTTTGTTAGATACCCTTGACATTCTTTGCTCCGAATAATCATATTACCCTGTTAGATTTCAACAGCCTAACAAATTCATCTGCTCTGGTGTCCACTCATGGAAGAGCCAGATACGTGACTTCCCTCTCTTCATCCCTGTTCTGTCAGAATCTTCTGAAAGCACCACCAGCATGATAGCTGGCCAGACAATTACATTTCTGATTCATGGGAGCCACTGTTCTGTTAATTTTAAAAATAGAGGGGTGAAGGGTTTTGCCTTAACACAGTTTGGATTTGTTTTTCCTGATACTTCCTGCAATCTGTGAGTTCCTGGACACTGCAGCTGTTCCATGAATTTAATCCTTTTACTGTAAGGCAGCACTTAATATACTGTATGCCACAGAAATACTGTGTAAGAAACTGTTTTAAAACAGTTTGTCTAGTCTTTGCATACCATATGTCATTAATTTCTAGATCAAAACAAGAATATTAACTTTGCAGAGCAGCTGTTGAAAGTTCCTTGGGACTCGTGCAGCTTTCAGAATGCTTTGCTGTCATATAGGGCTTCTGAGCAAATAGATGAAATTCTCCAAGAAAGCTGTATTTCACATGGTTAGTTTTGATGAACACAGCAAATTGAAACTCAAAAATCCCCACTGTTTTCTGTCACACTTGTAGACATCTTAGCTAGACTCAGCCAGAGAAGTTATTGCTGTTTTAAGTTCAAAACGTGAGAGTCTCTGAAGGTTGTGTAGTTGTCTGTAGCATATAGGTATTGTAAATACAATCAGTCTTAAAATAATGATTAAAAAAATCCAAGATTGTTGGTTTTGCTTAAACAGCTCCTGTAGTCATCAGCCTTCTGGTCATAGTCTGTGTAGATGTGCCAGTGGGGTAAAACTCCGCTGCTTCTACTTCATAATAGCATGCTTCATCTTCTTCCATATCCTTTTCTAATTAACTTTGAAATTACATTCTGCTTTCTCAGTTTAGAAAGTAGATTTACTGCATGTACAAGCAAGTACACATTTGTAAAATTCTGTTAAAATATGTAGTACTGAGTGCAATAATATTTTAATATTCTTTGTTTAATTTCTTAAGGCAATCAGAGTTTTCTTTATGCTCCGTTCACTATCACTGCATTTGCGAGATGAGCCAGAAACTCAGTTACCACTCACAAGGGAGGAAGATCTGATAAAGACAGATGATGTTCTTGACTTGAGTAAGTAGTCCCTCAATTTTCCAGATAGTCTATGACATGAAAAATTGTTGGCCTTTTTTTTAAGTTAAAAACTACAAATAGTTCTCTTGTTTGTGTAATTGAGTTCCAGGGATGGTTGTATTAAGTTTGTCTTCTACTGGATTTGGAATACTTCGTGTGGCTGGTTTTTTTGGGTTTTGTTTGTTTTGGTTTTGGGGGTGTTTTTTTTTTCTTTAAGAGCCTATTAATAAATATTCCAGGGTTTAAATATTAGCGAATAAAGGATTCAGGGTCCTTCATCCAGTTTCCTGGTATGTTAGTTTTCTAAATGAACTGATCGTATGAGGACTTTCTTCTCTTCTGCTTTCACCTATTCAAAGTGCAGTTAAACCATTCATTAACTTTAAGAGACTGAAGGTAATTACTCCAACAGCTGAACTGTGCTGTTTTACCAATAATGGGTAACAACTTCTCGAGTCACTCTGGCCTGAATCATAAAGCTGTAGTTTTACTGTCTCCAGCCCTGACATTGTTTAAGAAACAGTAACTTGTCATGTTTTAAGTTAATCTTACTATAGTGTGAGATACTTGCTTTTTTGTTTAAAGGTTTAAAATATGTAGAGAAGTGTGCTTTTAGGCTAGAATTTAAAAGAAAATTCATGATAATATAAATACTATTGATTCCATTTCTTGTAATCAAGACCTAGAATAATTTGACATATTGGTGTTAGTTGATAAGTTCTGTTCAGGTAGTTGTCTTATTAAGAGCTTGCAAGTACCATCTGAAACTTTAGAGGGCATGTGCTTGCTGAAGGAGAGTGTGTGTATTTGCTAGGGTTTTAATTTTTCAAAGTTCTTTTTCTTACAAAAGAAGGAAAAAATAATTGATGTTTCAGACGTTGTCTTACTAAGAGCTTGCAAGTACCATCTTTAGAGGGCATGTGCTTGCTGAAGGAGAGTGTGTGTATTTGCTAGGGTTTTAATTTTTCAAAGTTCTTTTTCTTACAAAAGAAGGAAAAAATAATTGATGTTTCAGACATTATTTTTTTTAATTTTCTATGTTTAAGTGCTTGTTGGTCTTACTCCAACTGAAAAAACAGTTGCCCTAGTTGCCTTAGTAGATGTTTTGGGATTATGTCCAGTATCTCGGAGAACTTTTTGTGCATTAAGTCCATCAGGAATGTTAATTATCCGAGTGAAGGGAAAACGCTGAAATCAAGTGAGCTAAGCAAAAGTTTTTTTATTTCAGATCTGCTGTGCCGTAGCTTAATGGATGAAGTCCAGATTAAACCTTAAATTCTATTTCAAAATTACTATTAAATATTAAATATATTAA